TGCCTAACCTGCTGCAAAATTAAACAAAACATTTAGTTTTTCTATGGTTAATTACAAATCAATGTAAAAACCCCGTTTTTACTCTATAGTGCAATGATCTATGCAGGCATTCACAGATTAAACCAAACATGAATACTCTTTAAATTGTTAGTGGGATTTGTACTATATAGCATAATAATTGTAACTCTGTATAGAGTGACTCATTGATCCCGAACAGAGGATAAAAAGATGAGTGTAAACACATTGGCCTGCTAATGTGGACAAATATTATAATGTATCATTTGGTTTTTGTATGTCAGCTCTGCTCCAATTTTATAAGAAGACTGTCTGCTACTGCTAGGAATTTTATACTTGTTTAATGGTGGGCAGCATTCTCAATGGGCATAAAAAAATAATCTCTAATAATTTGTAAAATTAGTGCTAGTTAAGTGTCAGGATTTGAAAGAATATTGAAATAGCCAAGACCATGGGCAGACTTGACAAAAAAGCCAGACAACAGAATAGCCAACTGAATTAGGATGTAAAATAACCAATGAAATGAGACTATTTGCTAAAATGCATGTATGCTCTGACAAGCTTACACAAGAAACTTATTCCTGTACAGATTTTTCATAAGCCAAGCAGCTGGTAAATAACTGCTTTCTAACTACTAGGGAAAAAATTCTAAGAAGTAGGTATGCTGAAATTTTATATGTAACTCCTTTCTCAGTTAGCTTCTGATTTTCAATTTGAAAAAGAAAGGTCCATCTTTACCACATTATCTTCTGAATTACAAATAGAAGCACATTCTAGATTGCTGGTCTGCACTTGTTCTTCTGCTTTATATGTTCTACCCTAGTCCTTTTACAACCAGTTGTCACATGATACCTAGAAACACCCATAATATCTTTATAGATGGAAACCTTGCACTTTCATTTCCAGACGAATCTTAGAAACAGGGACTTCAAGCTTATTTGCTAAGGTTTACAGTGACCGTTTATTAATGTTAGTGAAGACTGTAGATTAATGCTTTTTATTGGTCCTTAGATATTACCCACATCTAAGTGGGTAAATAACATTTCAAGTTATGTTTCTTCAAGTTAAACTCACTAGTGAAGAAACAGTTTGAGAAATTAATGTATACCACATTCAGTGACTGTTAGATTACTTCTGGAGAGAGATTTTAAGAATGATGCATAGTACTGGGACTGATTATAAAAATTTTCCAAGTCTGCTGGAAATCACATATATGATTTACAATTCAACGATCTGTACTTGCCTCTCATGTTGGTATTCATGCCTCCTCCAGAAGACCCATGGGAATGTCCATGGCTGTGCCCATGGTCACAGTGGGAATGGCTGTATCCATGGCTGTGGCTGTGCCCATGGTGGGAATGGCTGTGATCCTGTGAGTGGCAACCTCCCCGAGAAGCTCCATGTGAGTGTGCGTGGCTAAAGGCACAGATACCAACAAGGTTTACGATCAGCCCTCCAACAGAGACTGGCTGTGAGAGGGAGAAAAGACTTACTATATCTTCGCAGGTGTTCAAGTTTATATTCTAGAACACGGTATCAGAAACACTGTGCACCCAGAAAGCCAACCATGTCCTGGGCTGGATGAAAAGAAGCATTAGCAGCAGGTCAAAGGAGGTGATTCTCCCCCTCTACTCTGCTCTCATAAGACCCCACCCGGAGTACTGTGTTCAGATGTGGGGCCCCCAACATAAAAAAGACCTGGACCTGTTGGAGTGAGTTCAGAGGAGGGCCGTGAAGATGGTCAGGGGGCTGGAGCACCTCCCCTGTGAGGACAGGCTGAAAGAGTTGGGGTTGTTCAGCCTGGAGAAAAGAAGGCTCTGAGGAGACCTAATAGCAGCCTTCCAGTACCTGAAGGGGGCCTACAGGAGAGATGGGGAGGCACTCTTGATCAGGGAGTGTAGTGAGAGGACAAGGGGTAACAGTTACAACATGAAAGAGGGCAGATTTAGATTAAATATTAGGAAGAAATTTTTTACTGTGAGGGTGGTGAGTCACTGGAACAGGTTGCCCAGAGAAGCTGTGGATGCCGCATCTCTGGAGGTGTTCAAGGCCAGGCTGGATGAGGCTTTGAGCAACCTGGTCTAGTGGAGGGTGTCCCTGCCCATGGCAGGGGGGTTGGAACTTGATGATCTTTAAGGTCCTTTCCAACCCAAACCATTCTATGATTCTATGATTAAGGGAAACTGTGGAAGCATTAACATCAACAGAAGGATTATTCTAATACGGATTCCTCATCATACTCCTTTCAGTATACAACCTGTTTTCAAAGGAATTTTCTTCCCCTCTCAAAAAAACCCAGTTCTCTCCAACCTTCCCAAAAACATCAGCCAATAACCACCAGCAAAATGCAAAACCTAGTATCCACAAATCAGGACAAGATAACAAATCTAGTTTTAAAAAGGGGTGATAAATTCTATTTACTTTCAAAAAGAGGTAGTTAGAATACAAGCTTTGCTTTGCTTTCACTGGTAAAAAAACCCAAAATTAGTGCGTTGTATCTAGGACATGCACACTCATGTAAAATTGTACTTAACTGAAGACAGCACCTACTGCTTTATTGGTTGAGTTGTCCTTTTTATCTGTACTTATTTTTCTACTCTTCTCTTGTAAAACTAGCAAAGCATAAGAGTAATTCCATCTAATAAAGGAGTTAAGCAAGTCCTGCTCAGGGGTTATTTGACCTTTCCTTGGCTATGCAGACTGTGCTCATCTAGAGGAGGTAACCCCTCCCACCCTCAAGAAACAAAACCAGTAGTCAAAATGGAGCGAATATTGAAGATCAGAAAGACGAAAAAAACCCAGGCTTTGACTCCAGCAATGCACATTTCTAATTATGCCTACATAAAAATCTTTCTTTGTTACTGAAGAGAGCAGGAGAGCACAAATTTGTGTGTGTGGGAGGGGCGACGGGAGAGAAAACAACTGAAGCTAGAACTGAAGGCTTGGATTTGCAGAATTCCACAATAAAAAAAAATTTAGCCTGAAGAAAGTTAACTATTGCATTTGAAATAAATAGATGGAAGCTTGAAAATTTAACTGGGGAACCTGTGAAGAGGCTGTGGAAGCTGGAGAGACACAGATGTAGTTAAGATTAGCTACGCACATTTTAATGATTGTTTATGTCATAGTAACAGACTCAGCATAATGTTATGAATTCTGGCTGATTTTTGTGGTTTCTCAGAGACTAGTTCAAAAATAATTTCTGTAATAATTGCCATTGGAATACATAATATATACATAACAAATTTAGTCTTGCACAGATTATTTATTTTGTATGTTTTATTGTAGAAAGACCAGCATCTAAAAAGATTAGTGCTGTAAAATCTTAGAAAAAATTCAATTTAACTGTTATAATCAAATTATATTCACCCCTATATATTTTCATATTTTAAAACTAGATATACTTTGTATTTTGAAATTATAATATGTTAAAATGTCAAGGTACAGTTTAGGTCTCTTGAGTATGCAACTTTACTCTCTTTAACTTTTTTTTTAAATTACGACAAACATACATGAACCATTAACTGTCAAACAACATTCAAACAGAATGACAAAACTTACAGTTAGCATATTTGTATCTATGTCTGGAGGATCCACCAGTCTGGCCACCGATTCCATGAACACAAAGAAAGCAATTACCATCAGAAACAGGCCATTAATAAATCCAGAGAGAATTTCTACACGTCCATACCTGAAAGCAAACATATATACCTTTGAGAGTGAAGAACGGGTACTCTGAACAAATTTCAAAGTTATAATAATTGAAGTTATAATAAATTTAATAAAACATTTAGATTGCTTTGATTTTTTTCCTTAATGCCACAAGATCATGCCTAAATTCCTGGTTATTTATTTCTGACCAAGAGGCAGCTAGTTTGCAACTGTCCAAACACCAACAGTATAAAGCTATAATAATGTATTTTTTTATATATACTGCAAATTCAGGGCTTCAAACTGCTAAACTGCTATGCAATTTAACCAAACAATTTTTGATTATGTCAGCAGAATTGAAATCCTCATATAAACACTGACTTTCAACATATGTTTTTGATGTACATACCCATATAGAGTGAGGCAACTTCTTAATAATATTAACAGTGATAAATTTTTATTTGTAGATATAAATGAAAATCACATTTCATATGCTTTTTCGCAGGGGCTAAAGGGGAATAGCATGAACACAAATGGAACAGAAGAGACACAGCAAAAAACACATAAAAGCATGCACCTTTAAAACATCCCAAACATATCTTTATAGCAGGGCATTTTGAAAATGAGCAAGTACAATAATTTTCAGATAGTCCTTAAAGAACCTAATACACATACCCATAAGAAAATATGCGAGTTGCTTTCCACCTTGTCATCAGAGCTGCAAAAAGCCCCATCACTAATGCAGAACAATCAAAAAGCATGTGAAATCCATCAGAAATAAGACCAAGGCTGTTAGTCCATACTCCATAAAACAGCTCCACAAAAGTGAAAGCCTAAAACGAAAGAGAATTTGAATTTTTCCTCAAAGATTAAATTGCAATTTAATGTCTTGTTAACTGGCAGGAAATTATTTTCATAGGACACTTGATAGTTTTCAAAGGTATTGTACAAAGTATTTCCAGATCACTTTCTCTCTCTTCCAACAAAACAAAAGTGATGCATTCCAAGTCTATGAAGAGCCATTTTTGAACCTACCCTCCCAAAAGCCTTAGACCTAAGAAAACAACCCTCTCCAAAAGTAACTAAGTTTTCATTTAGAATTTTAAACTAACATTGTGCAGACAAAATTTTAAGCATTTTGTCATTAAACAATGTAACAACTCTGATCTATCTATTATGATTTACTGTTATTAATTAGTTTGCCTGTAAAATTTCTTTCCCATCTTTCATATTCCATAATGGAATTCCTTAAAGTTATCACGGATACTTCAAATTTCTCCTTCTGTTTTCTTGGATAATTGCCAAAGAACAAAGGCAGATCTTTGCAAATGAGGTTCTATCAATCTTCCTTACTGCATGATCTTTTCCTATTTGAGAGAGGCTAGAAATAAAACCAGCCTACTCCAAAATGACACTAATCAATCCCACACTTCCTATTTTGTTGTCCTCATCCCCAACTCAGGCTGAGAGAGTTAGGGTTGTTCAGCCTGGAGAAAAGACGGCTCCAAGGAGACCTAACAGCAGCCTTCCAGTACCTAAACGGGGCCTACAGAAGGGATGGGGAAACAGTCTTTATCAGGAAGTGTACTGAGAGGACAAGGGGTAATGGTTATAAGCTGTAAGAGGGCAGATTTAGACTAGATATTAGAAAGAAATTTTTCACTGTGAGAGTGGTTAGACTCTGGAAGAGGTTGCCCAGGGAAGCTGTGGATGCCCCAACCCTGGAGGTGTTCAAGGCCAGGCTGGATGAGGCTTTGAGCAACCTGGTCTAGTGGAGGGTGTCCCTGCCCATGGCAGGGGGGTTGGAACTCGAATGTCTTTAAGGTCCTTTCCAGCCCTAACTATTGTATGATTCTATGATCCTTGAAGGCCCTATTAGTTTCAGCGTATCTGCTGGTAACACTGAGATAACTCAATCTTAAATGTACCATCATACAAGTATTTACTTACTGGTAGAACAGTTACAAATAGAACCAGTGTCATACTGTGACAACAAATCGAAGTCATCTGCCACTTACTGTAAGATTAGCATAAAATTATTTTATTTTAACGTTCCATCTAATGAAACTACTTTATCAAGAGTCCCTTTAAAAACAATCAATCGTGGGAACCTGTTAAAGAATAACTCTTCTTATTGTACTATGTATGTACTACCGTAACTGGGTTTGAAAAAAAACCAACCATACACTTACCAGATTTAGGCACAAGAAATAGAAGATTTGCCTAGAATCATACTCCTCAAGGATTTGTTTCAGTGATTCCTTAATAAACCGGGGTAACGACTGAGAGCTCTGCTGTAATGCATCACCCATGAAGTTATAGAGAGGAGTGCCTTCAGGGGAATAGCCAATAAGGGTACCCTTCTGCCCTTTCCTGGAGGGGGAGGACAGGATATTGGCAGCTGCAAGGAAAGTATTGGAGTTTTTGTTGCTGTTTCTAAGCTTCACAGATATTTTATAATGTGTTTGTCAGCAATCAAAGCTTACATGAAATTTGCAGGCAGCAAAGTGATTGTCAACTTCATCTTGAGACTGATCATTAGATTTCATTACTATGTAAGATTAGATCATCACTTCCACAACAGAATAGATCTTTTACATTCCTTTTTTTTTATTTTTTGTAGACAAACAGTAAAAGAGCACAAAGTTATGGGCCCTTTTTATTCAAAAGAATCCATAAAAGCTCATTCAAAGAATTCTGCACACATACATTTTCTGATTGGCTTCCCACTCACACAGACAACAGATTAAAGATTAGATTAAAAGATAAATAAGAGTACGTACACAAAATGAAGAAGACAGCACTCACTACCACCCCTCCAGAAAGAACATGCTCTGTGCTTTCATGATGTGGTGGCTTGTTCATAGTTCGAAGCTGGTCTGTTATTGGATGTGTCCAAAAGTTGCCAAAAAGCAGTGCACTAATGAAAATAAGAAAGGATCCATATCGAGCACATGTGGAAGCTTCCATCTTGACAGAGCATACGGACTCCACATAGAAATCCAGGATCACAACAAAAAAGATGACTGTTACGAAAGGCATGATGAGAGAAGACCAAGACTCTACTTTACTCTGCAACAAAAAATACATTTCAAACAGGATTACACACCATTATATGTGACTGTATATACAGCATTGAATCTAGTTCACTTTAATTACAAATGTTTTCAGCAATCCATCAACATATAAATACTTTTATACTTTCAGTTTATCATATAACACTAACATTCCAGCCATAGAAAGACACATATAGCTAATATGCACTACAGTACCTTATTTTAAATACTTTCATGTGCTTAAAAGCAATGCTGTATGCGACGCCATGTTTGCAATGGTCTACTCTCCCTAAGCATGCAGGCATAACAAGCATGTCTTTCAATTACAATAACCTACAGCTCAGGAATAAAAGAGCCCTCTATTTATAGAGTCATTAATACTTGTGTGATGTTAGTATATGAATCCAGGATATAGTATCCGAGCTAGAAAGATGAATTAAAAGTTATCACACAAAACAAGAAATTAAGGTATTGCACATATAAACATCAAAATATAGAAGAAAAATTTCAAACTTAAAAGTACTTAAGTACTCTTACTTATGGAGCTTACTACAAAAACAGAGATGGCAACTTTGGTAATTTTAAAGAAAAGATTTAAATTCCACTTCACAAGCAGAAGCATTACAAAATATGATTCATTTTTATCTTACCTCTGTTGTTAGAGAGAGGACAATGACCCATGGGCACAACAAAAGGACGGAAACAAGATGAGACAAAGCTTGAAGACGTTTGGCTCCGCCTACATCTACAGACAGTTTTCGTGAAGCCATGTGAAAACCAACCTTACAGCACAATGCCAGTACCAGAAGCAGTACTCCTCCCTGGAAACACAGAGGGATTCTGTTAGCATTTCTTAAGAGCTAAATACCTCACTACAAACCAAGTGACACATGAAAAAAAGATTAATATGCTTCCCTTAACTTATCAACAAAAGCCAAAAGACAGGATATTTCCTGTAATTGTTACTCTAGTTAAAAACAGTAACATAGCATACATGGTTATACCTCAGCACTATTCACAACAGTCCAATATGACTTTAAGTTTGAAACTCTCAAGGGTTAATTGGCATACAACAGCAGTGAACTGCTAGTGAACAGCATATGAGGAAAAAGAAAAATTACACAAAACTTGATCTCCCATCTTCCATTATTAAAAAAGTGTTGAAAGCATATGTAAACCCCAAAAGTGTCATGACACCTTGCCCTTAAAGCCTTTCATAACCTTTTAATTCACTTACCTTTAATTGCACCATACCATATTTCTTCACAATATTTTCTTTCAAAATTGTTCAATAAATGAATCACAAGATACACACACAGCTTCTAATCTCCCTTAGATCACACTTGCTTTGTGCACAGTTAGCCAGTCTCTCTAACATTTGATTTCTTTTTATATTAATACTTTCCCAGCTGCTCCTTATATTTTTCTCCCCTGTTTTATTCCTCAATGCAGCTACTTAGCAACAAGTCTAAGCTAACAGAACAACTTGATCAGCCAGGTCAATCCCTACAGTAAGCTTTTGATACTCTCTTACTCATGCCACCAATTACAATGGGACTATACTACTGAGAAGTATTAGAATCTGTGACTTCAAATACAAGCATGTAATGTAAAGGAAAGATGGGGAAAGATAAAGAAATAGCAACAAAACACAAACCCCAAAAGTGAGCAAGAAGCGGTTTGTGTGCAAGCATTACGAACATCCAGAACATTGATGACAGAAGACTTTATCATAATTTTAATGAGACTTTTTAGGCTATGCATTACAGCAAAGTCCTCATCAGCTATACAGGTTGAATATTGGTTTGGCTTGCTGTATTGAAGCTGCTCATACTCAATCAGGATGTAAAAACTACTGTATTATTTCAATTCCAATATGGGGTGGGGATGTTGAACTTGGTTTTGATTTAGGCTTGGATTAGCTCTAGGCTGGTGAAATTCTTACCTACAAACTTACATAATCTACTAAAATACAAGTTTTTTACCTTGTGATCTGCAACACCGAGGAAAGCAATGATTGTATATAGAACATGGGTAAGAGCACTGTCATGATGCCCCTCAGCTAAATAAAAAAAAAAATTAAGGAAGAGTTTCATTTGATATATATGTTGGTTTTTAAAACCAAAGAACAGGCAGAGGTAGCAGAAGACCACAGAAAGCAGAAGTAAGCAAACTGAGCTTTAAGGTTTCTCAGATCGTTAAAGTTTAGGAAATATGAAAATACCTCCACAGAAAATAAATAGTTGAAAATATTGGGGGGGAGGGGAAAAATATTTAAAACATGAGAACATAGTCCATGTTAAATAGTGCACAGCAGTCATGTTACAGTATTTATGTTAATTTTGGCAACCAGACTTTGAAAAATATACTGAACAGCATGAAAAATTAGATAAAATTTCACTCAAAGCACTAAAACAGTGAGGTGTCTAAAATACAATCTATATCTTTCCAGTTTCTAAGTAACTAAACTTTAGAAAACAGAGAATAACTGACAAGTACAATACAGCAAATATTAAAATAATTATAGGTTTTGGAAAAACTACTAGAGGGTACTTTATTGGCGAATTCACTCACAGAAAACTTGGTGGATTAATTGATATTATTCCTGAATACACCATTTGCATCTGTAGTTCCATGTTTTCCCTCCTTGAGAAAGTTTATTTTCATCTTGTTCTTTATTACTACCCATCCTTAGACATACCACTTTTTGACAGTACATTTCACTATGATGAGATGACCTGTTGAAAACTTACTTTAGAATCACTTCCAATTTACTCAGTGGCTTTGAAAGCATGTTAGCCAACTTCCACTTGCAGCTTAAAGTCTATTGTTGTTGAAGCTACTACAGGCTACTTCGCATCACTTTTCAGCTTAGCAGATGAACTGAGATTACACTTGCAAAAGCACAAGACAATCTTTAAGCCACTCTCCATGGCATTTGAAAAATCATTGCTGCGGTTTTAAACCCCTGGCTAGCAAAACACCACAATCGCTTGCTCACCCTCCCCTCTTCTGGGGATGGGGGAGAGAATTAAAGGGGTAAAGGGAAACCAGGGCAGAAACCAGGACAGTCATGGCAGTCAGATGAAGTCCCCAATGACTGGAAAAAGGGAAACACTGCACTAATTTTTAAAAAGCGTAGAAAGGAGGAGCCTGGGAACTACTGACCTGTCAGCCTCACCTCTCTGCCTGGGAAGATCACAGAAAGGACCCTCCCAGAAACCATGCTAAAGTACATGGATGGCTGGCAGGTGGTTCGAGATAACCAGCATGGCTTCATCAAAAACAAGTCTTGCCTGACCAACCTAGTGGCCTTCTACGAAGGAGTGACTACATCAGTGGACAAGGGAAGAGCTATTAATGTAATCTCTTTTATTTATGTTTATTTATTTATTTATGTTATTTATATTTAATCTTCTGTAAGCCCTTTGACATGGTCGCCCACAACATCCTTCTCTCTAAATTGGAGTGATATGGATTTGATGGATAGACTGTTCACTGGATAAGGAATTAGCTGGACAGTCACATCCAGACAGTAGTGGTCAACGGCTCAGTATCTGGATGGAGATCCATGATGAGAGGTGTCCTTCATGTGTCCGTACTGGGACCAGTACTGTTTAATCTCTTCAACAATGACACACACAGTGGGATCGAGTGCACCCTCAGCCAATTTCCAGATGATACCAAGCTGAGTGGTGTGGTTGACACACCTCAGGGACAGGATGCCATCCAGAGGGACCTAGACAAGCTCAAGAAGTGGGCCCATGTGAACTTGAGGAGGTTCAACAAAGCAAAGTGCAAGGTCCTGCACCTGGGTCGAGGCAACCCCTGGTATCAATACAGGCAGGGGGATGAAGGGATTGAGAGCAGCCCTGCAGAGAAGGACTTCGGGGCACTGGTGGATGAAAAGCTGGACGTGACCTGGCAATGTGCACTTGAAGCCCAGAAAGCCAACAACATGCTGGACTACATCAAAAGCACCATTACAGCAGGTCAAGGGAGGAGATTCTCCCCCTTTACTCCGCTCTCATGAGACCCCACCTGGAGTACTGCATCCAGCTCTGGAGTCCTCAGCACAGGAAAGACATCGACCTGCTGGAGCAGGTCCAGAAGAGGGCCACAAAAACCATCAGAGGGTTGGAATACCTCTCCTATTAGGAAAGGCTGAGAGAGTTTGTGTTGGTTAGCCTGGAGAAGAGATGGCTCTGGGGAGACCTTACTGCGGCCTTTCCATACTTAAAGGGGGCTTCTAAGATAGATGGGGACACACTTTTTAGTAGGGCCTTGTTGAGATAGGACAAGGGGTAATGATTTTAGACTGAAACAGGGTAGATTCAGACTAGATATAAGGAAGAAATCTTTTATTATGAAAGTGGTAAAACACTGGAACAGGCTGCCCAGAGAGGTGGTATTCCCCATCCCTGGTAACGTTGAAGGTCAGGCTGGATGGGGCTCAGAGCAACCTGATCTTCTTGAAGATGTCCCTGCTCACTGCAGGGGAGTTGGACCAGATAACCTTTAAAGATCCCTCCCAACCCAAACCATGGAAAAGACTGCCAGCCAGTCTACCAACCGTTTACTGCATACACTTAGGCTACAGCCATTATGTCTAGAATTTCTGAAGAAAAGGAAAGCCAATGAAAAAAGCTTCTTGCAATCCTAAGTGGTCTGATATGGACAAATAGGCAGGGAGACTTTAACTACAACTTAAAATCTACATCTGTGTTTAAGTTATAAAAGTAAGCAATGCCATTCATTTGTCTGTAAAGATCAATATTTAGATGTGAAATTAAAATCTTATGCTATAATATTCTTAAAAGGTAAAGAAAAAATGCAAGCGTATTTAATTCAGTGCTCTCAACATTCTCTCTGCTCTTGCAGAGGCACTTGCTCTTACAAATAGCAAGAAAGGATACGATGCTCTGCTATTTTAGCCATGAGATCATCATTATCAAAAAGTAGTAAGCAGATGACAGCTATGATGAAAAATGCAGCACCTCTTGTCTGTAAAAAAAAGAAAAAAATAAAAAGCACCCCAAATATTTTTATAATGTGCTGTAACAGATTATAAAACAATCCAGGAAATCAGTTCCCCACTCCCCCTTCCTGATCAATGTAAGCATTTTAGCTCAGGAACAAAAACATGAGGAAACTCCCCTCCCCCTCCCCCCCCCCTTTTTTTTTTAAAGTGACCATAACCGTATTATTTTATATTTATTACAGTTTTCAGATTTACCAGATAACTCAGGGCAAATCACCATTGCAATACAACAAGCTAGAAGTTTGTATCTTACAAACTTCAAGTGTGATTGCTTCTTCCTTCATGGTATGCTTCTCTCTGTCAACATGCACATTCACTTAAGCATGATGACTTAATATTTTGTAGCATCAAGGAGCTATAAACAAGATCTAGTGGACAAACTGCATAATTTTGTCTAAGGAGAGGTAAAGGCTAGAGCACCGTGCAAAGGCTCTGAGAAAGCAAAGCTCTGCAGTGCTTTTCTGGGGAAGAGAAAGAGGTACCTATGAAATCCCAGCTCCCAGAGCTTTCACCACCCTGAACTAAGACACTGCAATTTTGGCATTCATCGCCTTGGCAAGACTCTGAGCTCTACAGCTAAAAAATACTATTACAATTCATCTTCTAAACCCAATACAGCTATCACATTCTTGTTTTGGAAAGTCAGCTGAGTTATTTTTGACACAGTTCACTTAATAAAGCCAAAACATTCAGACGACAGGGTTATCGGTCCCTTGCTTCTGCTGCCTCAGATGTGCAGCGTAACTGCTGAACGTGGCCCACTTATGATAGAGATTGACAAAGAGCCCCTCTGAAGCTCTACAGCTACCCTTTGGGTGGTTGGCTGGAGAAAAAAAATTTCTTCTAGATGAAGAGCTTCACGGTGGACACCCTAAGCATCTCAATCTGAGGAGGGCAGTTGTAGAACGTCAGAGCAGGCAACTGTGCTATTCACTCTAAGGCCAGCCTAAAAGTGGTTCTGGGACTCCAGCAACAGTTATGAGACAGAGATTTCAAAACCCCCAGCCTGAGGAGGCACCAAAGCCAGACTTTCTCTTACATGGCAAGTACTCTAGCCTCAGGCATATGACATCATAAGGTATCTTCCTCCAGCTACCACTGGTTTTGAGTGAAAGTGGCCAAGACTGCTAGGTGCTGGGATGAGCTCATTCCATTTAGGGCTGATCAGGCAGTTAAGAGAACCCCTCGCGGAACTGTATGTAATGGGACTCTGGCAAAGGATGTCTCAAGTATAGATCTCTGAGTAAGTGAAAGATTGGAGCCAGGTATTCAGCACATATAGGCTCATGCAGACATTTAAGTACTTAGAGAATTTTTTGGCAGAATAAACAAAGCATGTGAAAAGCTACAGATACTGAAGAGGCTAGGCAAGGATCTGGATACTGTACTGCTGGACTTCAGTGCTAAAGGCCAGGACCCCTACACACACATACTTCCTTTCGTCAGTTTGAACCCAAAATCCCATTACAGAGAATGCTGAAGTGCCAAAATCATTGTGAAGGCTCTTTTCTGCCTATAAAGAGAAAAACTTCGTAGGTATCTGCCATGGATCTCCAACAGCTTCACCCACTGTTTCTCTCTTAATGTCATATTTATTATTTCAAGTAGTACATCTTGTAATTTCACCACTGATTAAACAAACAAACAAAAAAAAAGCACAGTTTCTATGAACACAGGTCTGAAACACTGTTTGTTCCAGGTAAAGAAGTACTTGAATTTATAACATTGAGTATTTTTTACATCTGGTAAAATAAATATTTAAATACCTTTGCTGGTCCTCCACCTGAGCCTGTGAACAAGACACTAAGGAGTGACAGTACAACCACATCACTGTGCTCAAACAGCAACAATGTCCTATAAAAAAGTCAAATAAACACTTATGTCCACTTATGAGAAGTTCACCTCACAAGCGCGATATATACTATTTTAGATAAAATTCAATGACACAGCAGTCAAAGATTTACCCTGTGATTTCAACAGCAAATTTAACCAATTCAAAAGGATAATTGCAAATCTTATTTGCCTTCACCAGCAATAGATCTAGCAGCTGACAGCTAGACATGTTACAAAACAATTTCCTAACTCAAAGAACAGACTAAAATTAGTCATTGAGAGATTACTTTAAATTGTACTTACCAAAGCTTCTAGCTCCCAGAAAAAAAGAGGTCCTTATCTATTGTATTGCATCCTATTTATTGAGGTGCTGATGGTCTAGTAGCTTATGCAACCTCAGAACCTCTTAATTGCTCAAAATAAGAAATTCTAACTTGCACACTATCTCCTTCAGATAGCAAAAGCTGACTAACAAGCTATATTGACAGCTTTCCAGAGCAGAATATGAAAGTAATATCGCTGTCAAGTTTATCAGATGCTTTTGCCATTCTCCATATAGCCATACAAACTGCTAGGGCCCATGTTACTGGTTCCGTCTGGGAAGACTGACAGTGTCCAGAAAGGCACTACAGCATTAACAAGTTCTGTTCTTCTCAGGTGTGCCTTCTCTTGTGTAGAGAGTAAAACTTAATTAAAGATGCCTTCTAATACATTAACCTTCATTTCTGGAAGTCTAATTTTATTCTTTTATAGTTACTTAGTAAGTATGGCTAACAAACAGCCCAAGTGATTTTACTTGGACTATATGCAGTTACATTACCCAATTCCAACCCAGTACAGGCACACAACCAGATAAAGCAGTGGCTTGTAACAGATGCAGAAATTCATTCTAGTCACTTGGCACAGAAATAGAAGCTACCATGACTAGCTGTCAAGCCTTGGACTTCAGTTAAACAAACAACTGGGGTTACATTAATGAGACTAGGGAAGTGATGAAAACCACAGCCAGTACAACAGTCAGTGATCTTGTATCACTCACATCAATAGTTTAAGCATTACCAAGAATTTCACTGGCATCTTGTCAAAGAATGAATGAAGAAAATTACAAGTTCTACAGAAATTACATGTAGCTTTTCCCAAACATAACAGGGTCCACAGGAAAAAGCACAAGGATCCATTTAAAATTTAAAGAAATAAAGGAAGAGGCTGTCATCATGGGCTAAAGGAAACAAAACAAAAAACAAAGGAGCAAGACAGGGAAAGATCACAAAAATTAGCTTATAAAGATAAAACATTCTTTACAGTAAATATATATTTACCTCAGTGGTCCACAAAGAGTAAGGCCAAAAAACCACAAGAGTGAAATGATACATCCCACAACAGCATGCTTAAAAATTTTGATCCACTACAAAAGAAAGGTATTTCATTATAATTTTCTCCACAATTTCAAAATAAACACTCCATTATTAGCATTCTTTTAGTACAGTAGCTGTAGAAATAAGAGGGGAAAGCATTTGCTCTGCAAGTTCTGCAAAGTTTAGAGTATGACTGTCTTAACTACTTTGCCAGGCAGCTAAGGTTTGTTTCGACATATTATGAAACAGAATTACTCATGTTTTCTACCACAGTACTAGTTTCTATAGTGTAGTCTGAGATCTCTTTAACAAAAAGCCTGAAAAAACACTGAAAAAAATCCAAGTCCATTTACCTGTCAAAGATGCTGTTTATTTTGTAATCTGTTGTACATATCTGATAAACACATATAGAACTAGGTAAAACATCAAGATAAAGAGACTAAGACCTTAAGTCTAAAAATATTTATGCGTTAAATTCCTTCCTCAGAAAGTGGGTTATAATTCAGCTACCCAATACATTATTAACTGTAAATTCAAGCTTTTGAAGAAAAAGCAATTCATTTTGGAAATGCACCAAACAAAACAAAGTGCCTATGACAAACATCACATCTTCAAAATCCAGAATTTTAAAAGTTTTAGTAATAGTGAAATGGACAGAAAATGGACAGATTTTCCAAACACAAATCACAAGAAACAATTAATTCTGGTTCACACTTTAAAATTTTGCTATACACGTCTAATCATGAAAGCAGCTGACATTTGGAACACTTCTGAGGCTATCCTTCAGATTTTCTCTACTTAGCACATACACTGATAACATGGTGCACGGATCAAGTTTTTGCATATGCAAATACATAAAACCACGATGAATACGGACAAAATTTTTTTCTTGCAGAAGAGCAGGTTCCAACCTGGCCCTACTTGGACATCTCGGGATACTGTTGATACAACTCAACATAGGTTTGAAGAGCATAAGACTAGCCCCTCATCACAACACACAACGCAGAAAGCACTCTTTTGGCATGGGGGACATCCCTGGAGCACTCTGACATTCCTGCAGTCCAGAAACTGCCCTTTGAAACTGCCAAAGTCAGCTAAGTAGACTAAGCTCTTTTTGAAAATCCAGTCCTCAGAACAGATGCTTGCATGAAGCCAAGGACTACTCATTTCACAACACTCTCAAAAGGAGTTGGCAAAAGATAAAAATTATGATTTTTTTTTTCACAGCACACTAGACATGAAGTTAGTTACACGCTTTTGGAAATTGCAATGTGCTCTTCCAAGTGGAGTAACCTTTTTCCCCACTCTCACTTTTGGCAAGAGTCACGTTGTCAAGAAGATCTACAAAGATTATTACATATGTCAACTCACCTGACGCTTGGTTACCAATTTTCCAGAAGAAAATGGTTTTTGAAACAAAACCATAAAAAATGCAGACCTGTTAAAAGAATAAAGTTTTTTCTATTAGTGTATTAGCAGTCAGCTTTTTATTTAAACCTGCTCTAAATAACTAGGTCTGTCATATCAGGCTCCGCTGACAAAATGACTTCCTCTATATTTTTCATTAAAAGGCCACACTGACCACACGCACTGGTTTTATCTTCCTTGCTGCATTACATGTGTCAGATACTAGCACAAAGATTGTGACAACTGAACTTCAGTTCTGGTCAATTTTAAATGCAAGTTCTTCAGAGAACTGCTAATGAGAAGTCTACTTGTGATTTACAAAAATCAAAATAACTGATCGCAGAGCTTTTGAGAAGAAATAACGCTATGTTTTTTATTGGCAAGATACAGAAACCCAAAGGCATATTCACATATGGAATGGTGAATACAGTGTCTTGTTAAAAATAAAAATGGGAAGAAACAGCACACATCTTCCTTAGCTGGGATCAAGAGTAAGTGGTGGGGATAAACACGGTGGTGCACAGGAACATGCAACTGGGAAGCAGAGAAATGTAAAAAATTTTGAAATAAAAGGAAAAAATGAGGTTCCACATGTTCCAACTCCGCCAAGCTTATTATAGAAATGTTCTTCCACATCGTATCAGGTAAACATGAAGCAAGACTGTGTTTGCAAAGGTTGTTTCTGTATATTTGCTATCAGTTTCTACACTTCAGTTCTGAATCAGGGAAAAATAGCACTTGAAGCTCACAAAAACTACAGGAATTTTAAGGAAGAAAGCTTGTCTTCTACAGCCTTCTTAAGAAAATCTGGACATGCCCAAGCTTCCTATGACCAGCACTATCATAGTATGATAAATTTTATAGTAGTGAAAACATTGAAGTTTCTTGAAGGTAGAGAGGTCTTACAGAGAGATCTGGACAGACTAGAGAGCTGGGTAATCACCAACCATATGAAATTTAACAAGAGCAATTGCCAGATTCTCCACCTGGGATGAGGTAATCCCGGTTATATGTACAATTTAGGGGATGAGAGGCTGGAGAGCAGACCCACAGAAAGAGATCTTGGGGTTTGGGTTAATGCAAGTTAGATATGAGTCAACAGCTTGCCCTGGAAGCCAAAAGGGCCAACCACATCCTGGGGTGCATCGAGCACAGCATAGCCAGCTGGTCAAGGGAGGCAACTGTCCCACTCTACACTGCACTGGTGTGGCCCCACCTTGAGCACTGTGTGCGGTTTTGGGTACCTCAGTATAAGAAGGATATCAAATTATCAGAGTGTGTCTGGAGGAGGGTGACCAAGATGGGGAGAGGCCTCAAGGGTGAGACTTAGGAGGATCAGCTGAGGTCTCTTGGCTTGCTCAGCTTGGAGAAGAGAAGGCTGAGGGGTGACCTCATGGCAGCCTACAACTTCCTCAAGGGGGTGTCAGCGCAGGAGGAACTGCTGATCCTCTCTCTCTGGTGACTAGCGATAGGACAGGAGGAGATGGAATGAAGATGTGCCAGGGGAAGTACAGACTGGGCAACAGGAAAAGGTTCTTCACTGAGAGGGTAGTCAGTCACTGAACAGGCTCCTCAGGGAAGTGGTGATGGCAGCAAGCCTGTCAGAATTCAAGGAGCATCTGGACAACACTCTCAGTCACACGGTTTAGTTTTAGGTTGTCCTGGAAGGAGCAGGGAGTTGGACTCGATGATCCTTATGGGTCCCCTCCAATTTGACATATTCTATGATTCTGAAATTATAGTGAGCAGAGATACAAAGGAAAGATACTGCTACGAACAGTGTTCCTGGATGTATTGCTATGCCTTCTCCTCCTTGATCAATCTATAATAACGCAGGGTATAGGCTTGACACTGACAACATGGCAGACAAAGTGTGCCGTAGTGGCAGCAGACTAGGCTTCACAGCCTGCACACTCACCCCAGCTGCACGATGAAGATAAACTGCACTAGGTGAACCGCTTTCAGAAGATCGTAGGATTCAAACAGCCCCACGGCTTTCAAAACTTTGGTGAAGCACAGCAGCACGACATACCGAGTCAGCCTGCAA